TTGAGGTCAGGAGTTTGAGACCAGCCTGGCCAACATGGTGAAACCTCGTCTCTACTAAAAATACAAAAATTAGCCAGGCATGGCAGCACACACCTGTAATCCCAGCTACTTGGGAGGTTGAGGCATGAGAATCACTTGAACCCGGGAGGTAGAGGTTGCAGTGAGCTGAGATCCTGCCACTGCACTCCAGCCTGGGAGGCAGAGTGAAACTGTGTCTCAAAAAAAAAAATTGAGAACCATTTCACTAGGAAATTGAGGAAACAAAACCACTAGAGGCACTGGAGTTAAACAGCAAGAAGAATGAGAAGTAGGGAGAAATAGGAGGGAAAGCACAGGACACTGGTGTCTTCTCTGCAGCATTCTTGGCTCCCACAGGTCTGACCACCAGCTGGCCACTGCAAGGCCCAGCCACCCTGCCCCGGACTCACAGCAGTGATCTGGCTCCAGTCCCTAGAGTTGCCAAGCTCCACCTTCAAGTCCTCATAGGATTTGGCGTTCTGCACATAAAGTAAATAACAGATTAGACCTGGATCTCAGCAGAGAAGATGGATGAGAAGCCGTTTTCCCTCAGGAATGGAAAGAAGGCTGGTCTGGGGCCTAGTGGTAAAGGAAAGAGGATACACAGGCTGAGGCTGGAGGAGGGTCCCCGAAAAAGGAGATTAGGTGGTGAGGTTGGGACCAGAGGGGCTGCCAGATCAGAAAAGGGCAGGGCAGGCTATATTTGTCCCAGCTCAGCCTGACTTGGGGATGGGGAGGATCTTTTCCCACCTGCAGGGGCCAGGGCAAGAACCGCAGGCAGTGTGGAGAACCCTGCCTAGGTTATGTAGGCTCTGGGGAATGCAGGGCTCCTGGGGATGGGCGGGGGTCCCCCCAGATCCTAGAAGGGATCCGTGCCACAGAGGAGTGAAGGGACCATGGCTCTCTGAGGAGTCCCATCTCCATATCCTAGAGCACACTTACGCTGAATGAATGAATGAGTGAATGAGGCTGAGAGAGAAGCCAGCATACACTTGAGGTGAGGGAAGGGTGATAACTAAAGTGGACTGAGAAAACCTGGCATCTTGATATGCTGCCTTGAGTAAAAACTAAACTCAGCCCATCTAACTGCAGAATTTAAAAAACAAACCAACAGATTTAAGGAAATTAAGCTTTCTGCTTCCCTAAACCCATGTGTTATGACAATTTAGAGTACCCAGAGCCACCAGGCCAGGCTTCACTCTACCTTGGCCTTCTTCCTACAGAAAACCTTTGCTGGAGTTCCATCCTGGGGATCTGCCCCTTGCTTCTATGTGGGGCCAGTTTAGGAAACACCCCGTGGAAGCTTGGCACACCATCCCTCAGGTAAGGACCACATACATGACCCATTTTGCTTAGAATTTAGCACCAGGGGCCGGGCGCAGTGGCTCAAGCCTGTAATCCCAGCACTTTGGGAGGCCGAGACGGGCGGATCACGAGGTCAGGAGATCGAGACCATCCTGG